TGGGAAAGTACACTTGAAAATGTTTCGTGTACTTAAGCCTGGCGACCAGTTCGGAATGTACAAAAAGATCAACCAGAATTGTCGGTCCAAGCGCCACAATGGGCTAAACGTTTTCTACTACCCCCCTTCGAAATTAGCCGAGGCGGCCGATTTACAACACCCCGAGAACTAGTACCGTCACGGTCGCAGGAATCAGAATAATAACGGGAGGATCGTTAACGAGATGCAGCATCTTCGACTGAAGACCATCAGGAGGATATTCCTGTCTCTCGGTGACCTTTGACTACAGGCTCTCTCGTCTGAGAGGAGCGCAGTAGAGGGAAAGAGAAACGGAGGGGTACGCAGGGCACTTGAGGGCAGAGACAGGTCGGTGCCGGCACGGACGCGTATCGTTCGCCGCATCCGGTCTTGGGATTCGATTCACGCGAGCCCGGAGAATGTGCTCTCGTAGCCTCGAATGCGAATTTAATAAAGAGAATAAATCATTTTAATGTAACGCGCCGGCACGTTGCTGCGGAACGAAGGGGTGACGAAGCTAAGGGGGTAGAGAAATTCAACGGCGCGGGGCGGTTAGCGAGTACAGCGGCGGAGGGGAGGGAGGGGGTTGGAGAACGGTAGGAAAAAAAACCGGTATTTTTGCGTCGAGCACGAAGGGGTGCATTTCGTTGCGATTATAAAAGCCGGGCAACCCCCGATGTGTCTAGACGACGTGGCCTCCTATCAAAAACAGACCACCGAACTGAAAAGGCTGAAAGGGCAAGGAACTCCTCACAATGCCAAGAAATTAAAGTTTCTCTGTATATCCACCTATACTCGTCCTATGCCTCTTCCTCTCCCATATTCCCTCTTTCTTTCTATCTTTCTTTCTTTCTTCCTTTTTTTACCCTCCATCCGTCTTCGCTACTCCTATCCTCTCGCCCCTCGTCGATCGTCGACGTCGCGTACAGGAGATGAGAGAAGAGGAGGAGGAGCAAGGGAAAAAAGAAGGGAAGAAGGAGAGAAAAAGATCACTTTGCCGATAAACGCAAACAGAACGGGGAGCAACGTACGCGCAAGTTAAAGAGACGGGGCTGCTGCTCTCTTTTCTTCGCGGCGAACGTTTTCGCAAAGGACTCGCAGGACTCGTAACCTGTTGGAGTCCGATCGATCGCCTCTGCACCGATGATTCGCGAAACGGTACCCCGTGATCACGAGATCCCGTAAACATTGTACTAATCGAATGTACTTCGAGTATTTATACTAATGGATTCGAAGGTTAACGCGAAGCTGGTAGGAAGATTGATCTTCAATGCTTCGACGCCAACCCCCAATATTAAATAATAATTTTCAAGGGAGGTACGTTTATATACTTTTTAGAGACATTCTTTGCGCCCTCTGTTGAGGTCCAAATGGCCCAGACAATTCCATCCACGATACATAACTCGCGAAGTGCCGAATAAAGTGCGTTTTCCCTTTCTACGGTACTTTAAGAACGCAAGTCCGCCGATATTAATACTGTCCTATCAAGGGTGAATAAATTACTTCTGCGTCTGCGCAACCGTTCAGGATTGGAAAGTGATTAATTTTCGTTTTTCTCGAACGGACAGAAATCGGCGTGGCAGATGTTTATCAGCGACCTCGCGTAGGTTCCTTTTACGTGAGTAATCCTTTACGATTCATGGCTCGCGTATCCTATTTGATGACGTGCAAAAGCAGCACGTGACGCACCGCTTCCTGATTCATACTTCCGACTCGACTGGATTCGATTCGACTCGGAACGACCGGCGATTTATCGCGTATAGAATATATCTTTTATGAGTTACACGATCTTACATAATTTCAACCGATCTCTATCCCATCCTCTCACCGAAAGGACCAACCGTTCATTGTACTGAAAAGACAGTAGTTTAACCCTGCCCAGGCAAGACACGTTGACCGCATCGAAATCGGTAAAAACGAGAATTTCAATAAATAGAACTATTTCGGCGTATTAAGCATTCCTCACTCTTAAGAATTTGCTTAAAACCTTATAGGGAAACATTCAGCGAAATCTTAGTAATGTGTATATTTCGACATAATAGTACGCAGAGGGTTAAAGCCGATTTATGCGAAAACCAACGATACAGAGTCTTGCGTCAATTGGTCTGTCGGTGAGAAAGCTTCGATAAAATTTTCGGAGTCCAACATATGGCCGCGGGAGCCACGGTAAACGATAATAATCAGTTGCGATTATGCAAATTATTCGGTGACGCTGTGACAGCTAGCGGGCCGGACGTTTCTGGGGTATCAATGAATCGTTCTTTTGATTCGCGCAACAATAGCGACGTATTTACCGCTTGCACAGCAATCCTTGATCGGCTACAAAGAAGTCCTAGCCTCGCGGGGACAATTTCAGCAGATTGGATTCGTTCTATTGCGGAACTCGTTGATTATAAACATCGCACGGCGAACGTTATTATTACCGATAGTGTGTGACGCATTGAATTGTGACTCGTCAGTTTCAATCGGAACGTGTTGAGCGTATACTATTATCGGGGTGAACGAAAACGATAAGTCGAGAATAACTCGGGAACAGGAGAAAAACCGAGAGAGCACGACTAATGATTCGAAGTCAATGCATAAAGCGATTGTACGAATGAACACTTGGTTATAGGATCTAAATATCAGACGAGGAACGTGAATTGGTCTCGAACGCTAATTCAGAGCACTATAGTCGCATTAATCTCCATTCCAGTGTGTAATTTTTGATCCTTTGAAAATCTTAAATTACATAAATCAATTGTATAATTCCTTCGCGTGCGTTGACTCGACGCATGGATACAAATCCACAACAGAAACGAGAACACATAAAACAGTAGCGGAACGTATATCGTTAATCTCGATCAGGGTGAAAAATAAAATAAAAATTGCAATCAGGTTTCGTTAAACTGTTTATTTCATTAATCCTTTCAGTAAAATCCGCAGTTGAATTGATACACAGAATTACATTTAACATGTTTGGGGAAGGATTGTAACGAAAGGAAACGGGGGAACAAAACTGAACTGAAATCATGGGCCAATTGTAACTGACGAGCACGGTATTCGCTTTTGAAACCGTTGCGATTTAAATTGCGCGCCATTGCCACGGGAATCAAAGGGCAGAGTACCCAATGTTTTTCTATCTGGCCACGATGGAAAATATAAGCGAGCCAAGCTGATAAACGACCTCTGGAATGTTAGATAAAACCGACTAGGGCCAACTATGGGTTAGTTAGCAGCAACAGTTGGTGTGGGTGTTTGTGTGCGCGGAATCAAGAAAGAAAGGTTGATGCCCTGCATAGGTGAAACGATGGCTTTATCAATCCCGCAGGGTCCAATGTGAATCGATAACAAGTATACTTTTTCTGTTCACGCGTGGACCTAATATCTATCTATAAAATAGACCTAGATAAATCGATCAATGATCGTATAGCATATACCATACGATGGTACATTGCCGCTGTCGTTAAGTTTCCTTAGGATCATCGAAAGTTTCCGCAAAAATCTGTATCGGGAGCTGACAATCAGATTCCGTTTTGTGTACGACAGATGGCACTAGTAAATAAATGGAAGCAGAAAGATCAGTAACCCCGATGGGGGAATAACCGCGCATTAACTCTTTGTTTACTTGAACCCTCTGGAATACTTTCACTCCGGCCGATTTAATCGGTTTTACGTTTCTGCGCGTGGTTTCCATACACACCGTTAAGGCGAGGATCCGGACGTAACGGAACAATGGTTGAAAATCGTTCTTTCTATTAACCGTCGAAACGAACGTTTCGAAAGAATCCGCATCATGAAAATGTCCCGAATGTTAACGATACTCGAGACAATGGTACGATTGCACAAGTTAGGAATATTAAGAGTCGAATCGATTCGTATGCCGTCGTATTGGTATCGATATACGTTGACAAGGGTCCAAGCGGGGGTTTTGTGTTAGTATGATAATGGTATTCGTTAACAGTGACGGTCAATTATAAGTCGCGGATGAGACAGGGTGAGGGTCCGGGGTAAACGTGTAGACGAAATTCGCGGAGAACGGCGAAGAAAGAGGAACAATGCGTGAAGACGCAAAGCGACCGCGTGCCCTTTTTCTGTTTTCTTCCTTTTTTTTTCAAGCTGCGGTCGAGGTAAACACAGCACGGCACGTTTCGTGGCGCCCCCTAACTGATAAAACGCCATCGAAGCACTCTCGTGTCTCTCGCTCGCGCATGTGAGAATCACGGCGTGACATACGGCTCGCAGTCAAACTGAAACGTGACACCCGTTCAAAGGTGTCGGAACTACGCTGTCAAGGATGGTATTGAAGTCGATAAGCCGATATAACCTCAAAAGTGAACGAGATAACGCGTACTTAAAGGAGCGTGAGTTTACGACCACGCCACCGCCACGCACGCTAGACACTGGCATGCTTCGATGGTGGGGCCACCGTGCCGAACGGCCGACCCCTTCCGCGAACAGTTAGAAACTACCAAAAATGTATTTCCGTGTCAGTACTCACCATCGTCTGAGTTGACCTGGTCTTTGTGGATGTCGGACATATCTGAAACCCACAAACACCACGGGTTAGCTGAAAATCCCTCGTGTTTTCGGGCAGCCTCGTTCGATCCACAGGCACTCACTCACCCGCCATGTTGTAACAAACTGCAACGCGCCCCTGTGGCCACGCGTTTAACTTTCCCGTATCGAGAGATCGTTTCCTTAACACTGCCCGCGACGATATCGATATTGCCAATTTTAATTCTCGTTTCAACGATTTTTTGAATTGCGACCACCAGACGGACAGTTGCGCGAAATCGTCTGTATTTAATTAATACGGAAATTACTATGGGAGAAGCGGGAACGGTGTTAATAATGTGATTTAAAAACTTGTTACAATATAGAAATATTGCGTGAAGTAAATTCAATTTAAAATTATATGGCAGGTAAGGTAATAAATCTTTGAATCGATTTTGAGAGATGCTGAATTTGTTTGAAGTAATTACAAAATTGTGATGATCAAATCTTTAGTCTATTACGCAGCAATAAATTTTTTTTGGAACAAGAGTACAAAAAATATAGAACAACATGTGATTTATACATTTAATACATAAATAGTATCCTAACATTTAGGATAGGTTGTTATAAATGAAAATCAACAGAGTTCTTAGAAAAGTTTTGCAAAGTTATACATATGATAGCATTTTATATCTCCACAAGAATTTAATAGGAGCTTATATATGTATATACACATATATATGTATATATATATATTTTTTTTTTCAATATATACTACAAGATATCAGTATTTTGCAATTCCCTAAAAGATTAATCTTAGTTTATAGCGCAAATTTAAGTACTTGCTTGTCAGTATTGACAAGAGTTAACAACAGTTAACAGGTAATGCAGACTTTCATAATTTAAGAGAGAAGAACCTCAAGTTCATGGACAAAATAGTTTCTACATATTTGTGAACCAGTCACAAGTATTTAATTGGAAATATACAACATACAGTGGTTGCAATTTAAATTTAAATTGCAAATGTTTTTCTCATTGTCTACAGTGTAAAAAAAATATTTTAATTTTATTCTCATTATATTATCTTTGATATATTTAATTAAATGCAAATTGTATATACGTAAAACCTAGAAAAAATAGGTCGCGCAATCAACGGACATTCGATAAAATTTCTATGTGCTCTGAATTTCCAGTACAATAATTCATATATTACATGTACATAACTGAAAGTGATATTTATAATGCACCTTAGAAATATGATGCATTGATATGCAGCCGTGCCTTCTGTGATAGATTTGAAGTCCTTCTCTTGATTTAAAATACTGTATTGTAAGCAAACAAATGCACAAAACAATATAATGATGTCCAGTACACAATGCACCAGGTGTGTTGTAGTTGTGATTATCTTGTGACAGTTCCTGAGAATTGTGTAATATGGAAAGGGTTGTGGAAGAGTATTCAGAAGTGCTGATATGCTAAAGGGTGTCATGTATTATCCAGAGCTACTTCTTCAATTGTAGCCCTGCACATTGGACACTCTACAAGTTGAACCGAACACATTTGGCAAAACCCTCTGAAAGAGTATTTATAATTTACATCCTATATCATGTATCTTTTAGCTACATCAATATTTGGGTTCGAATATTATAAATTAATATCTACATATCTCCATATATGTATAAATGCAGATAGATTACCTGTGATTGCATGGCAATAATCTCACCGAAGCTCTTTGGTCAAAACACAGTGTACATGAGTCTTCTCTGACGCTAAGTTTCCTCAGTTGATCTAAGTAAATATGTCTAGGAAGCACAATTTTATCCTCCGGTTTCAAAGAAGCATAATCATTGAATTTTTGATATTCGCGATCAGTGGGAGGATATTGAAATGGGACATTTCCAAAATTAAAAAGACATTGTTGGAATGACATAAAACTGGCTGCAGCAAAAAATCCGGATCTAAAATATTTACAATATACATTGTTACATTACTTATCTTTATGCTAAAATATCTTTGACAAAGGAATATTTGCATACCTCACTGTTTTGAATACTTGGACACAAGGTTTTAATGGTACACCATTTATAGAGAATATAATTTCTAATTTGTTCAAGTCTAGTAAACAACCCAAAATATCACCAGCTTTCCAACATGGTCTATCATAATATTTTTCACTCGTTGCATTATACCATATTACTCTACGACAACCATCATAGGCCAAAGAAAATTCATCATCACCTATGCCATATCCTTCCTAAAGTTAGAACACAGAATGATTAAATTGCTTTTTGCATAGTTCTTATGTATGTACATTTAAATTAAAAACTGACATGATTTAAAAATGTGCTATCCTTTGTAGCCCAACCAATTTGCATTACTCCCGCAGTTATTAGTAGAGTTTCATAATACCAAGTACCTGAATCTACTTGAAATGTACATCTTACACTTTCGAACGAATATGCATCGCATCGAGCCTAAAATTTTTGTAAAATAAAATGTATCATGATACAAAAATGATGCATGGAGAAAATGTGTTGTATCAATTGAACTTACTTCTAAACCATTAGGTGATATTTTCAGGTACTCACTTACATCCTTTGTGTTTAGCATAACATTAATACCAGTCATATCAATCGAATCATGAGAGTATTTCCTACCTTCCATCAAAACTAAAATCATAAAATTAGTTTCTATAACTAACTGTTCTCACATTCTTTAATAATATTATGTATAATGTAAGTCTACGAATATTTACATAAGTTGTCTAAACACCACTGTGCACAAAATCCTACTTGTCTGCGCACATAATGAGTCTCTGTCACCCATTTCTCCAATTCTAGCAGTGGGTTAGGTTTTTCTGCCATTAATCGTTTTTTGATAGTTATTTTATTTTCACCTATTAAAATATATATTTTATTTAAAAGTTCACTTTATTTAGAATATCTTAGTGCAAGAATTTCAACTAAGCGCAAATTATTAAAGTTAGTACTCACTTGTCTGTGCAAATTTTTCCAAAGCTATTAACGAATATAATACCACATAAGGATCACTATCTTCTCTCTGAAATGATATAAAAACTAAAAACATAAGAGAACTTATAAAATATATTCTTTTTTGTGCAATAATGGCTGTATAAACTTACAAGATTTGAGACAAGATAGTCTAAAGTTACATCAGATAAAATTGCAATACTGCTAGGACCAGCCAATTTTTCAGCTATGCAACCCAGTACAACACAAATGTTACGTTGTTGAGTTGCAGTGGTATGTACATTTCCAAGTTTTTGATATAATTGAAACATAAGTGATAGTCGTAAGACTGATTCCTAAAAAAATAAAATAATCTTGTGAATAGTTCTAAATGTTAGAGATAAAATGAAATAATGCAAATGTACCTTTGAAGGTAATGGACAATCATCTAAGAGAAGAGTAATAACTGAAGGACCTAACGGATTATGCATGGGAATAACATTAACCATTGAATTTATTACTTGTATCCATCCATCCCCTTTATCAGCAATTATACGTAATTTCACCATTGCGGGTGGTGGATCTTGCTCACTAGATAGATGTAAACATTTTATGGTATCAATTACATGCATGAATATTTATATAAAATGATTTTCATTTAACAATACTTACTTATCAACAAGAGAACCACTAACTTTTAATGTTTCAAGCACCAATTTATCAATATTAGCAGAATTTGGAAAATTTAAACGTACATAAGTTACACTACCAGATGCTGTTGTGCCTATACTAGATTCGGAAAACACAGTATTTTCAGCCTCTGCATGATTCTGTTCATTATATACCTCATGTTCTTCTGATGTATCTTTACACAAACAATTGCCCATTCCCACAATTTATAATGATACTTCAAAAACTTTTTATCACATATATATTTTTTACGTGATATTTACACAATTAAGTGACATGTGTATTCTTAATATACAATGTAACAAAACCCAATGTACATTTAAAAACAATGATGTTATGTACATAAATTTACATTTGTATATATTCTCATAGGCATAGAGTCTTAATAGGAATATTAATCTTTGTTGTTAACCATATTAAAAATATATCATATCAAAAATGTTACCAAATTGAAATTAAAACTTTTATTTACATTCTTATGCTTTTGTTTCTGATGTGTTCAAATATATAAATAAATGTAATGGAAACAAAAATATATAATATTTAAAAATCAATTTACAATTATTATTATATATTGATTGTTATAATATATCTGGAAATAAATAAAGATTAATAATAATTTCTTCAATAATTTAGTGGGTCATCTATGTGACTTTACATACTTGCTTGAGAGCTGTCATTTGGTTATGTTTTCATAAAAGCCGAACCATGCCATTTAAATCTTTAGAAACCTTCTTGAACCACATTCTGCAAAGAGCAAGTTAAAAATTCGTATTCATATTATTTTTTTTACGAATAAAATACTGATTGAGATATTATTGCACACTTTGAATCGTATTATTTAGGTTATGTTCTTAATAATCTTCAAAACAGTAATCTCAGCATAACAGGATACACGTACTATACTATACCACCTTTCACGTGAAGTGATCAATTCTAAATCATACATAAGATAAACCTTTATACGTCAGCACTATTCTTGTTTTCTGTTTATTTAATTAATATTACAAATATTAAAGTATTAATTTAAAGCGTTATATAATTTACTCTTGAATATTTTAACTAATTTCTTCCTGCAAATTTTTTGAAACAACTTTTGTGCAACTATGAACGTAATTAATAAAACTTGAATCGAGCGAAGGCAAGATTGCAAAAATAGATAGCATATAAAAGTGTTTCAAAAAGTACTGATAAGAGTAGCTTTGATATGAATTCTTAACAGATACGTATCTTTTAGATCTTAAAAATCAATAAAATAACGTTTACATAACAAACATTTTCTAAAAGTATAATAAAAATCTTCATTTCAAAAATAATATGTGTTAGAACAAGATAAATAAAAAAATATATTTTTGAATGTAAAATATTTAAAAAAAAGATTTATTTTGTAAAATATGTAGTCAGAATTTACGAATTACATTTTTCATGTGTAGGTATATCTAATTAAGTATTGTAAGAATTCGATACATACTTACTCTTATCTTCATATTAATGCTATAAAAAATATATTCAATCAACAAAAATATGCTTGTAAAGTAAGTTAATTTGGAGTATGACTATTATATCGATGGATAATTTATGTTAAAACGATAATATATTTATTGAAAAACTTAAAATGAGTGGCTATACGCGGTCAATCTACTATATCGACGGTCAAAATACTTGCCACCCTCCGATCGATTTAATACACCATTTTAAACAAATGAGAGTTCTTTCTTAAATGATATTGTTCTGTGTTTGGTTTATAATGATATACTCGTGTACAGTATTACCAGAAATCAATTCGTTTTATTGGGTTAGGTTCATTTAATTTTAATTACATTTAAATACTTTTTTATAGTAAATGCTTCTATTAAAGATGAGGACTCGTCTGTGACCATACATTCAATTTATAAAATTGACAACACAGATTTAAGATATGTTGAGTATCTATTTATTTGTACATCTCCGTTTGGGTAAAGAAGATTTCTTCCTTATTAAGAGTAGGGCTTCACATGACCTAGACCACTAGCGGAATCTAGTGGTACGGATCCTAAACCAGTCCTGAAAAATAAAACATGTCGTCATAAGTGTATACTTGATTTGTTGATCTTAGGTTAATGTTAACCTATAATTCTGTTTACGTTAAAGTGTTATTGATGTTGCTGTAATTAAATACTTCGAAACGTAAGGTTATTAATATATATTTATATAAGTGTTTTCTATATAAAGGAATAACATAATTTCACTTTATAAATCATTTGTTTTAATCCAGATGAATAATACAGAAGAAAGCATAACGAAAATTCAATTTAAGAAGAAATCAAAGAAACCGTTAAGAAAAAGACAAGTTTCTTCGGATGAAGATGATAATGAAAACGAAGAAGCCTCTGTCAGGTTGGTCGAAATTTTGTATATGAAAAATATAATTTATGATATTTTATAACAAACATGCATTAAGATCAAAATATTTTCACAAAAATTATCTAGTAACAGTGAATATGACTTTTTTAGAGAAAAAGTTGAAGATTTAAAAATTATACAAAAGCTACGAGAACGTCCAAAGGGTGTAAATGTTGTTGGTCTAGCACTTGGAGAAAATGTAACACCTGATGTAATTACTGTAAGTTTTGTAGCTAAACTAATTAAGAGTCAATTTCAACAAATTATTGTGGTAACAACAAAAGTTTTTTTAGTCAGATCCTTTTAATGTAAAATCTGGAGGTATGGTAAACATGACTGCATTGAAGAATACAAAACTAAAACAAAATGATGCATATGAAACAGGAATCGGCACACAGTTCAATGCAGAGACTAACAAGCGAGATGAAGATGAAGAAATGTATGTATAAATATGTTTTATAGATTCTTTTATGTTATTTAATGTATTCTTGCATATTAATAGGGTAAAGTATATTGAAGAAGAACTATCAAAGAGGAAGAGTAAAACTGAAGGTAAATCAGAGAATGGATCCAACAATGAAAAAGGATCATATTGTTCTCCGGAAGAAGCAGCATTACAAGCTGTACCTGAACATTTAAGGCAAAGTTCAGCACACAGAAGTGAAGAAATGCTTTCAAATCAAATGTTGTCTGGTATCCCAGAAGTAGATCTTGGAATAGAGTATGATTTTTTTAATATATACTTTTATTCTAACAAGTTTTGTAAAATCTATAGTTTTTATATAAAACTTATTTACTTTAGAGCAAAAATTCGCAATATTGAAGCTACAGAAGAAGCTAAATTGAAGTTACTTTGGGATAGACATAGAAAGAAAGATGGTCCTTCACAGTTTGTGCCAACAAATATGGCTGTGAATTTTGTACAACATAACAGATGTATGATTACATTCATTTCATCTCCATTTACAAAGACAATTACAATAAGACAGAAAAGTAATATGCTCTATTTTTTTAGTTAATATAGAAGATCCGGATCTTCAAAAATCAAAACAAGAATCCGCTGATAAAAAGAAAGTGATAGCACCCAGAGATGATCCTAAAGGAAAACGAAAAGACAATGGAGAGAAAGCAACAGATGATTATCACTATGAAAGATTCAAAAAGCAATTTAGAAGATTCTAAAGTGACTTGTAAAATATCCAATAATTATGTACTTCTTTGCTATATACGTTATTTATATGTACATAGGTAATAAGTCAATAACTTTGAATGTAATAAAATTGCACATGTAAATATAGATACAGTTTGTATTATCTCAGAAAATATTTTAAATATTATCCCTTCTTATAGTTTCATATTAAAGTTTATTGCATATGCAATATCTATTTTAGAGTACAAGTTGTAAAAATATTTAAAGCTTCTTCTGTTTCTGCAAGCTACTAAAATTTCATTAATTCCATCTCATTTAAAATCATTAAAATATATTGTCTACAAATTTTGCTTATTTCAAAATATCAAAGCGTAAGAGGAAATTCTCAATTTATCTGCTATTTGATCAAAATATCCTAATAAAGGGAAGGGATGATTTTGGGAGTAGCGCGATTCATTGCAGGATATTGTAAACTCGGCATAAGCTTGGATACTATCGCTTAGAATGACGACATCGTAGCGACGTCAATTGACTGTAGAGGGATTACGTTGAAATTCGATCCCTTTAAATTCGCGGCAACTATTGTTTTTCTTTACAACTGTGACCATGAGCTGTGGATTCGTTACTTGCGGCCCAAATGAGGCCCTTGTAGTTTCAGGTAATTATATGCATGCTTTTTTTTAATGAACTATTCGCGTTACACACGCTTTGAATGAATCGACATGGAAGGAGTGTCGTGTCAATTAATTGATTTGTACTATTTGGTTCATAAATACGCGGAAAAATTAATTGCGATCATATTATCGATTATAGCATGTTAATTTTACATTGTCATTAACAAATTGCTTCTTTTTATGTTTTTATTATCTCCTTAGCTTATTAAATTTATCTTTCAAACGTAAATATGAAATGCTGAGACGAATTATGTATATACTGTAACTCTTGGCCTTGTTGTGTTAAGTTTTTCCTCATTGATTTCCGTCTTATTTTCGATTCACTTTTTTTTAAGGATGCTGCTACAGCAAACCCCTTTTGGTGCCCGGCGGCCGAGTATTTGTCTGGCCTATTGTACAGCAAGTACAAAAGTAAGTATATTAATTAAAAATAAATGCAGAATTATTTTTTCTTATGAATATATTTTTTTACATAAATTTTATGTTTTTCTTTTAGAATTTCATTGAACACTATGACTTTACAAGTAGAAAGTCCAACAGTGTATACATGTCAAGGGGTACCAATATCTGTGACAGGAATTGCACAGGTAATAAATAAAATCAATAAAATTTCAGAAATTTTTGATTAAAAAAAGTTATTTCAAAATCTATTGCTTTAAAAACAGATTTAAATGAGACTCGTACACAAAGCACTTTATAAATGTCAAAGATGATGTGTAATTCTGATGTATAATAATGTTTTTTAATATGTTCAAAGGTGAAAATACAGGGACAAAATGAAGAAATGCTTTCTGCCGCGTGTGAACAATTTCTGGGAAAATCGGAAGAAGAAATTCATAACATTGCCCTTGTTACTCTAGAAGGACACCAACGAGCAATAATGGGAAGCATGACTGTAGAGGTATAGCAAATATGACATAGTAGTAGTTTAATTGATCTATTACAAGAGAGCATACCATTGACCTCATTTAATTTACTTGACTTCTGTGTCATAGGAGATATACAAAGATCGTAAAAAATTCAGCAAGGAAGTTTTTGAAGTAGCTAGCAGCGATTTGGTCAATATGGGAATCACTGTTGTGTCCTACACATTAAAAGATATTCGAGATGAGGAAGTAAGTTTATTTTTTTCTCCTTTAAACAAATCAATATTTTTACGTTCAACAATGGAAGAAGAATTTTATGCAGAACAAATGCAAAATTTAAAATTTTACAATACAATTTTGTGTACTTTGTTTAATATCAATAGTTTACATACTACTGCAAGTCCCCCTTTAACTGGTTGTACATTTATAAGTAACCTTTATTAATAACAGTTAATGTAGTTCAATCTTGTATGTAGTAAATATTGAACATTTTTGTTTTGCTACTTGCAGGGGGCAAAGGTACGTTCAAATTATGTTTTATCACTACATATAATGCCAATGCACTGCTGTTCGGATAATGTTAGTGAAAATTGTTAATACTTAAATAATAAGTGACTTAGAGGATGATATTTCAAGTGCTTGCTTTAATGGTAGCACAAGTTTACTGAACACATTTGCAAATATGTGTCATTTACATGTATGTGACATTTCTCATTGTATGCCGCCTTTGTGTTTAATTCAGGCTGTATCAAAATTAAATGTTGATATCAGTGTTATCATTCAAAGACTTTTAATGGTAAAATAGCATAAATTCTATTTGTTATGTACCATTTAATGTTTATTAATTGTTTATAGGGATATCTGAAAGCTCTTGGAATGGCGCGAACCGCTGAGGTAAAACGGGATGCGAGAATTGGAGAAGCAGAAGCCCGTAGGGACGCCCAAATTCGCGAGGCCATTGCTGAAGAGCAACGAATGGCTGCACGCTTTCTAAATGACACCGAAATTGCCAAAGCGCAACGAGATTTTGAATTAAAAAAAGCCGCTTATGACGTCGAAGTGCAAACTAAAGTGTGTTGCGGAGTTCTGTTTTTAATTAAAAGAATATTTTTAATTTTTTTATTAAATATTACGTAACATTTTTAGAAAGCAGAAGCAGAAATGGCATTTGAATTACAAACTACTAAAACCAAACAAAGGATTATGGAGGAGCAGATGCAGGTAAAGGTGGTAGAACGAGCACAAGAAATAGCTGTGCAAGAACAGGAAATGTTAAGACGAGAAAGGGAATTGGATGCTACTGTACGACGTCCAGCTGATGCAGAAAAATACAGGTATTGTACATCTCACTTTAAGTAGTTCCTACAGTGAAGGTAGTCATATTACTTTCTTTGAAATGGGAAATATATCATTTTAGAAAATGTTGAGATATGTGAAGACATTTTTTTAAGCTACTATAAATATTTGCAGATTAGAAAAATTAGCTGAAGCTAATAAACTGCGTTTAGTAATGGAAGCTCAGGCAGAAGCAGAAGCCATAAGAATTCGAGGTGATGCAGAGGCTTTTGCTACTGATGCAAAGGCTAAAGCTGAAGCAGAACAAATGACAAAGAAGGCTGCCGCTTGGAATGAATACAAGACTGCAGCTATGATAGATATGATGCTTGACACTCTTCCAAAGGTAATTTTAACATTAGATTTAATTTCTTATTAGACATAAGAACTTCTTTGAAATTGTTTAAAACTTTTACTTGCGTATGTGATTAGAATACTGATTTGAACATATTTTATAGGTTGCTGCTGAAGTTGCAGCACCTTTAGCCCAGGCAAAGAAAATAACGATGGTTTCTAGTGGAAATGGAACTATTGGAGCAGAGAAATTAACAAAAGAAGTTCTTAATATTGTAACACGTGTACCAGACTTAGTGGAAAATTTAACAGGCGTGGATATCGCAAAGGTATGATTATTTAAATTCATATGTATATATTGCATTAACAGAAGAAAGTACATTTATGACTTCTTTTTTTCAGTGCATTCACGCTGCGTAAACACAGTCCATGACAACTTTTGAACATTTTCTGACCACAGTCGTACTTGTATGAAATATTTCATGAGTCTTTGATACATACATTTATTTTCAATATGCTCTTGCATATTAGAGTCAATTTATTAGTTTTAACTTCATGACGTTTCGTTGAATAACGAATTCGGTACCTTCACTGCCACTTATTTAAATGTAATATGTGAATTTCGATTTGTGCCAATTTTGAATAAATATTATAACTATGAGTAAATTCGAATTGGTAATACAGTATACAGTCTCGAAAATAGATTACAGATTTCGAATATATTCGCACAAGATTCATGTTTTATTCGAACGCAATAGATAGCTGTACATACCTGAATAGCAGAGGCAGTGAATGTATATTATTTTTTAACCAAAATTATATATTAGTTGTAACAAAATATTATTTTTATGTCTTAATATATGTTATATAAAGATTTTATTTTTTATTAAAAACATTCTTTTAATTAATATTTTATGCACTTAGATGAGAATAGGAAAAAAATATGAAAATATATCTTTTTGAATCTGATATTGACCAACGATGGTCCAGTTTTGTCCACGCGTATATAAACTTTGCCATTGCCGAAACATTCCTCCAGCTATGCTATACGTACCTTCCGATTATATTTATATAATTAATGAGTATGACCGCTTTAGAAAAGAAAGTAAAATTTGACACTCGTTCATTGAATGTGGTTTGATGTTAAGTAATTATGTCTAGTCCCCGAAGTTTAAATATCTTTACATGAATCTTCATTTACATTTCTAACACTTCGAAATGCATTAATATATTTTGCGTCGAGTTTAGCTAGAATTTACTGTGATCTAACTCTTTGTACGAAAACAAGAATGATAGTCATAGTTCTTGAATCATGTTTGAGAGCTTTGATGAATAAATTTGTATGACCAATTGAACGCCTTAAATTGATAAGAAAGATTCAATTTTATGTAAAGCGATTAAACGTTAAAATTAAGTTCGTTGTTTATTAATTTACCCACCCTATTGTCACGAGGAAACGATAAAAATAGAAAACAATAGAACTAATAATCTAAACCGTAGTGAGGAGGCTCGTGTCAAATGTGAATTAATGATTTGCTACAAATTTTCTTCAACGTATTTGAATTATGCTTTATGAAACAATAACTATTTATAAAGTGACATTATGATCTTGAATTTAAGACAATTTTATGTTTTTGTATTACCATTCGTTTCCAAGGATAACATTCTCTGAAAATTATTACATAGCATATAATATGGATACCTATCAGACTTTTTTAGTAGATTTTTTAGCCGGCGGAATATCTGCAGCCGTTTCAAAAACTGTAGTTGCACCCTTAGAAAGGGTGAAACTTTTGCTACAAGTACAATCTACTTCAAAACAAATACGTCCAGAAGACCGATACAAGGGTATGTTTTCACCTACAATTTAATATACTTCTTATTGTACTTCTAATCTATTAAAATATTTAATCTAAAAAAAAACTACTATTTAATTTTCATTTTATATTGTTAGGTATGCTGGATGCATTTGTCCGTATACCCAAAGAAACTGGTTTTCTCAGCTTCTGGAGAGGCAATTTAGCTAATGTAATACGATATTTTCCAACTCAAGCATTAAATTTCGCGTTTAAAGATAAATTCAAAACTTTATTTTTGGGAGGTGTACCAAAAGATGCATTTTGGAAACAGTTCGCTGGAAATTTGGCATCTGGTGGAGCTGCTGGAGCAACATCTCTTGTTTTTGTTTATCCACTTGACTTTGCTCGTACAAGGTATTATGTACACTTGTTTTCAACTTTAAACAATATATTCACGGATTTATTTTAATAGATTGGCTGCGGATATTGGCAAAGCAGATAAAAGAGAATTTAAAGGTTTAGGTGATTGTATAGCAAAGATTTTCAAAACGGATGGCTTTATTGGTTTATATCGTGGCTTTAATGTCAGTGTTCAAGGAATTGTTATTTACAGAGCAGCATACTTTGGTCTCTATGATACTTCAAAAAGCATGCTGCCTGATCCAAAGAACACTCCATTGTATATTAACTTTTTAATTGCACAGGTAAATTATATTTGGAAACAGTGTATAAGCAATTGGATAAAACTTCACGGAATGTTTGTAGGTAGTGACAACAGTGGCTGGATTTATATCATATCCTTTTGATACAGTTAGAAGACGCATGATGATGCAATCAGGGCTTAGTAAAACAGAGATGATGTATAAAAGTACATTGGATTGTTGGATGAAAACAGCTAAAGCTGAAGGAGTTGGGGCCTTTTTTAAAGGGTCAGTTTCAAATATGCTTAGAGGTACTGGTGGAGCATTAGTTTTAACACTATATGATTCAATTCAACATGCAATTGACACAACACTAAAAGAAAAAGAGTTACCACCATCCAAATGATTCCCCACATTAATTACTTCTAATATTAAAATAATTTATAGTTATATAAAATTTAAATAAATATTAATTTTCATATAAATTAAATTTAAATTAGAATTAACATACTAATTTAAAATATATTTTTACTGTGAATCCTAGAGAAGCAGTAATATTAAAACCTCATAATAGTAAAATATCCCATAAAGTATTTCAATTTATTTTTAAACAAATATTTTATGAAAAGTGTATATACACTTACTAATAAAAATAATACAATACTTTATTATTTCATACACTAGATCAGATGATTCTTAAAGGTATTAAGTTTTATTTATGTACCCAATGCAATGTTGATGCATTGACCATAACTTTATTTGCTGGCATTTACTAATAAATTGATTTATGTTCATGTATTATTAAATTCTCATTTAGATGTAAGAAATTGAGAGAGAAAATTATATACAAAACTGTAAATGCCTTTAAAGAAATGTCATGGTTTTTATATTTTTATATATCATATTTAATTCTGTCTAGAATCAGAGCTGTACAGCTTTAATTAAGCATGGTATGTCGATCATAAATGTTACGTCTTTGTTCTCGAACTTGACGTTTCCATTTGTCTTGTTGATGGCCAACACGATTTAGAACATTACCCCTTTCTCCCATAGGGTGAGATGTTCCAGGAGTTATGGATGTGTCATCCTATTCAAAATCAGAATAATTTACATATTAAAAATATTAATCGAAGTTCCTATGCATAAAAAATTATGCCAACATACTTCTTCATTATTATGCTCATGATAGCCAATATTTGCAGAAGTTTTGTGAATTCTTTTATTCAATAACGGGTCCAAACAAATTAAGAATAACATATAGATTACTAAAAGAGATATAACCCAAATAACAAGTATCACCACTATCTGTAAAATACAAGGATTATTTCATGATCCTTTCTATTAATCAGATTGAAAGACTTACTTTAATAATAGTGGTGTTTCTATTTTCATATTTGCAATCACATCGCGAACAATAAATTTCTTCCTTGCCTTTTAATTGATCTCCCACTTTTACTAATACAACACCTTCACAATTACTGTGGATTAAAATGTAAATGAAGTACTGGGTTTATTCTACACGTGTAACAGATGTGTGATTAAATTCTAAATTAAAATGCATGGAATTTTAATTACCACTGAGATGGTGGAACATTTATGATGTATGTTTGCCTTTCCAGTGACACTTGTGTGGCATTTATCATAGATGCAAGACTAGGACAAATGCATTTACATCGTTTATCATCATATTGTGCCTAAAATCGTGTATGCAGATTATATATGTTTGTTACAATTAACCAAAATAATCCTTAATCCTAACCTCCGACTGAGATAAACATGCCAGTATGATCACTGTTACGAAAGAAATATATTTCAACATTATATTGTTGAGCGTTTTATTCAACGCGTTTCTCTTTTCCTTTATTCGAGTGTTTACAACTGCTTAGTACACATGTATTCACAAACAAAACAATGACTAAAATTTCATTTTTACCAAACACCTTTATAAACTGTCAAACAAACGGATGGACACAAGTACAATTGCGAATACCTGACACAGGTGGCACATCCCGCAACTAATTTATATTTATCGATAAATCGCAAAGCGTTTCGATATATATGGCGCGCAAATTGGAATTAGAAATTGAAATACAGAGTTGAAAAAGAAAAATCTTTTATTTCCAGTAGTTCATTTAAAAGTTTCTTTGAAAAAATTTGTATTCAAAACTATTTGCAAAAAAAGTAATAAATATAAAATTAGCAATATTCAGAAAAAATCATGAAAATATGATGCATTCCAGGAATGCCTGAATACCTGACACGTGTCATCATTTAATAAAAATTAAAGACGAACCTTTGTTTAGACAGTTTAATAAATATCAAGACTGAATATAAACCATACAATAGTCACTTTTTTTTTTAATTTCATACAATGAACCGTGTATTATATAGTTTATTACATTTTGATTAAAATAAATCAACATTCTTAAATATAATAAATAAACTTACTTCGTTCATATTCTCTGCCATGTGACATACCCTTATTAATTGATTCTTCGCAATATAATTAATAACATTTTATAGGACGTTCGGAACACGCTTACATACTATATAATGATTATATCAATACATTCATTTCATACAGATTCATACATATCACGTAAGGTTCTCATTTCAAAGTATACACAGGCAATATTTAAAATGAATCTCCGTACTTTCTGAGTAAATTTTTGTTAAAATCAGATGGAATATTAATCACAACTATACCGTCAATAGATCTATGTGTATATGCATATATTTTTATGCTTGTATTTATGAACTAGTATTATGCAATGAGTGATGAAATGTACAAATGGACAGGGCAGTCTCAGACTTGCCATTGTACACGTTACTTGCAAAATAGATCTTGCACCATTTATTATCACAATTACAAGAATGTCATCAGTAAGATACAGAATGATGCAAGTTTCTTTGCGTTCATTCCCCTCGATAGTATTATACTTTGTCTCGAACAGTTTTAAAGCAATTGTAAATAAATCAGGGCCCTTTTCCGAAAGTATATAAATGTATGGTACCTTGCAGTTACGATGCAGCTATCCCTGTAACATCAACTACCGCACGAGTTTATCATTCGTAATTTGAACAAATTTAAGAACTTTGCCAAACTATAATTCCGATTAATATAGAAAGCACGATTACTCCAATAACAACTAGTACACATTTTTTCTTGCGCAGTTTATTCTGATAAATGCCCGCTTGCCTTACATGTGATGTAGCTTCATTGACAGATACTACTGTCCTTTCAACCGAAGCTTCTATGGAATCAATCATTTCTCCTTGATCATAGACTAGAGTACCAAGATCTTTAAAGATCTGATTAATGTCGCTGATATTGCTCTATAACAATAATCATTTGTACAATCAATGTATGTTACTAATATTTGAAAAAAAAAATGAATAATTTTAAAACAATTAATGTACCTCTATTTGTCTTATGCTTGCTTCTTGTTCTTCTAACAATCGTAAATTTTGTTCTTCTTTCAGTTGCTGTTGTTGCATTTGCTTTTGGGTACGACTGTCTTGTAATTCTATCAATGTCTCCTGTTTCTTCTCTCCGAATGGTGCAATACCTGCATTTGCCTTGGCTTTCCTAACCATTTCCTTCTCCTTGGAAGCTGCAAGCCTTTGTACAGTCTAAAATTAAGATAAATTTGTTTATATATTATCTTAATTAAATATACATATTATTATATTTTTTTATATATAAATATATTCTTACTTGAAAAGAATTTAATGCGCTTGTAAATTCTTCATGAAGGCGCTCCCTTAGCATTTTACGTTGCCTCTGTTCTCCAGGACTAGTTGATCCTGAATTGGTAGCTATTATAGCTAAGTCCCTAAGATGTACGCTGGTATCTTTTGCCAATTGCTGTGTATAATGTTGTATCTGATGCCTAAAAGAAATCATAAAATGCAACATTCATGTATGTGTTCCATTTTATATAACTATTACTGATAATTTAATACTTACAATTGATTTCGAAGTTCTTGGGAATCCGTTGAACCACCCAGCTGGTTAACCATTTTTTGCATAGAAGATACTGCAAAACATAAGCCAAATAAATACCGTAAACATTAATTAGAAAAGAATTTTAATACATACCGCTCTGAGATATCTTTAAAATTGATGAACCAATTGTTGATGACAATTTGGTAAAATCTTGGTCCCTGGCGGGACCACCATTGTGGTACGATGAAAACCCGATATCCATATTGACTGATTTTTTAATTAGGCTATGTAGTAATTATTGAATTACTTTCCACTGTATAAAAGAGAGAAAGAGTAACCCCTTAAAGAGGTTATTTGTTTGCTGGTTAACACATTGGAGCAATCAGTTGCAGTAAAAGTCACTTTCACAATTCTCAAAGCTCGATAATTAAAACGGTTGATAATTGCAATTGGAATTATCTATTTTTTTCAATACGTTGACACGAAAAATTCGTAGATGGCAAAAATTCACAGGAATGTATCACACGATGACCATTCGATCATCGAAAGAATGTTATCTACTCCGTTGTCACACTCCTGTCAACAGAATGAACGGTGGGACGATCAACTTACGGAATGACTCATACAGTTATTATGGAAAAACAGTAATTTCTTTTGTAAAAGATTATTATGAATCGACCTCGATGACGGGCCTAAAATTGTACCAAGTTCACTACGTGAAGCACTAAAACTTCACGTAAATCGATAACGTGTTAGGTCGGTCTTGAATGGATATAGCCGTCACTATTCGTCACAGCCTATACGTTATTCTACGCGCGACATCAGAATAGATAAACTGTACTTCGCAGAGAAAAACAGGGCCACTACGCATGTGGAACGATGCTCACTGCCATTTGTAGGAAAATTGGAAGAATGTCCATTTTACGTGAAGAATTGTAAATTTCTACTACACGCATGCACGCGATTATTGAATATCGCATCATATGTTAAACTATTCTTTACTATACCCTTTAATTCCTTTCCGTTTCGCTAAAAATATCTTTAATTAGACGTGTTGCTACGTCGCGGCATCCTGTATAATGAAATCTTTGTATGTTGCGTTCAACGTCGAAAGTAATATATACAATTCTTCACATATTAATTATGTTATCCGTAAAGACATTTATTCATTTTTCTTCTAGACAGATGTATTACGATTACAGGGAACGAATTAGACAAATATTTAGTGTTATAAGATTCTTTATTCGATCATAGAAATATTTCATCGAAGAATGTTTTACAACGCTCTCCCATGCTTGTTTACAAATTACATTTGTATCTTATACGCGTAGTAATAAATACTTTGTTCAAATCGTCAGAAAAATCACATTGGTCGTTACTTCTAACAGTTAAAAAATATATATACAAAAGTATTTACACGGAAAAAAGGAGCGTTGTCCACGCCAATAATGTAATCAATAGAAAAATAAAAACAATGGTTTATTTGCGAGCAGGGAGGAGACTTTATGATAGGTGCCGTATATAAATTACAGTATAAGATTATTTGTAATTAACCATTTAAAAAATGTTTTAATTACTTTATAAAAAAATTCTTGTGCTATTTTCCTAAAATGCGAAATGAAAATACATAACGATTACGACCATGTATTGCATTTCCGAGTGCGTTTATCGTCATAAGAGAAAATGATTTTAGGAAATTAAAATTGAAATTCGCAAATTGATACGAAAATAAAGTTATGATCGTAAGGAATATTTCCATTTAAGAAGCAAAAATTTTCATATTCATTTTCGCGAAGCAAATTAAAAAACAATGATAAAAACCTACGCCATGGAGAAAAGAAATTGTAAATGAAATTATAATAGTCTAAATGAACGTGTTTGAATGAAATTTTTTTCTTCGATATGAATGAAAAAAAGCTTAAAGTTATCCAGATGATTAAGGCTATGTCTTGGGGTCTACCAGCACCTTCAATAATACAAATTTGCAACTATATCACGAATAATGCCTTACGGATGGATTTTCAAAACATTCGTCCACTGTCATGATCCCGCAGGAGTTTACATTAATAAATATCTTGAACTAGCTACCTTTTTTTTACCGATCACGGTACATTATCATACATACATTTAACATACAGTTGAAAAACGTCATTATCATTCGCATGCACCGATATAAACAATCATATTTGTTTTGATTATCTCTCAAAAACACTATATCCAATTCTCGATTGCAGAAAATGATTCATGCGAACGGTCAGAATAAAGGAGAAGGGAAGAAAAGAAATTAGTTGACTGAATTCTTAAATGTTATGTAAATCAATTAAATAAATTCGGGTGCATACATTTTGACTCGGCATATTTGAGTATTCAAATTTCAACCAAGTACTATCAATTAGAACGAAATTATATTTCAAATTGTCACGTAATAATTGTATTTGAAGTATTTAAATATTTCTACTATTCGGTACTGTTTTAATATCTAAACATCGACTAATATCCTTCTCCTATCTTCACATTCAACATAATTACCGCTCACGCAAGTGTTTTATCACTGATTGTTATATCGTACTTTCAACTGGATTGTGCTTCGTTTAGAGCAGCGTTTTCCAAGTGTCATTGTTTAAACACTTGCACGCTTATGTACATTATAAACGCCCTAATCATTTACATAATGTAACATTTAGTAATTGCAATATCGACTTTTTAGTTTCTACACAGGAGCACAATTGCATGGAAAGTGGTATTACTACACATTGGAAAACGCTGTTACTAGATTTCTTTGACGCGCAATGGTTGCACATAAAATCACAGCGTTGTATAAAATCATTCATCGATTTTCACATAAAAAGACACTATTAAAATGTTATATTCATCTCATGCAACGGAAGTGTGTATCACTTGGCCAGCGATCAGGTTTGATTGCAACCCGATCGCTTGAGTAAGCTTTGAGGTATTCCACATAGAATTACAGCCGACAACTGCATTTCTCGCCAGTTCTTTGGTCTTTCGGATTTTCTTTGGTTTATCTTCTGTCCGTCTCTGTGTTCACCTAGATACCTAATATCTCACTTTACACGGTTCATTGGCCACTGTAGTGACTGTAGCCAAAGCAAGTTGATCTGTTAAATGTCAGTTTAATAACAGGTTCACAGGCTGGTCTCTTCAATAGAGTCAGTTCGCTGGAGCTTTCGGTTCTCGTCTATGCCTACAAAGTACGTTGTCACGTAACCTTTTGGTTTCACGTACGTTTCTCCTCGAAGGTGACACTTGACGCCCTGTTGCTCGAGAACTGCCGCAGTCTCTGCCGTGACCTAGACGAATAACAATGTAATGCGTTGTAACATTAAAGCAATCATGTGTATAATATTCAAAACAATTTTCTATACAATTCTATTTAACACTTTGTACACATATGTACGTATAATTAATCTAAATGTAAAGTTTTAATAACTTATGCAAGTTTTTAGTTAAACGGACTTGTATCTTTCCTGGAAGACCCGTGGTGTCCATCCTTGATGCCATATTTACAGCGTCCCCCCAAATATCATACAACGGCTTTTGAGCACCCACTACACCTGCTGTAATCTCACCATGAGATATTCCAATCCTTATTCTGAAAAAAACATTTTATTATTATAAATGTCTTCATTTTTAGAAATTAATTATATCTAAGCGCAGTGCAGTACCTATAAGGCTGTGATGTATAGAAAAGCCTGGAATTCAGTTTATCAAGAACTGCAATCATCTCAGCTGCAAATTGAGCCATCACTTTGACTACATTGTCACAATAGTCTTCATCGCTTTCTGCACTATACATTGAATCGCGCCGGCTGGCTTCTAATCCACAAGCTGCCATGTAAGTAGTACCTGGAAGAGTTACAATATGATGTATGCTCACATAATGCTCTACGCGCGACGTTAATGCGTTGTTTCTTACCAGCGATCTTGATTTTTTCGATTCGGCAAACGAATGGAGATTGAAATAATAATTTGTCAAATTCGCAAATGATTGCGTTGAGGTCTGCCAGAATGTTACTTTCATCTATGCTCAAGTCTGTCAATGAGGCAAACATCACTGCCACATTATTATGAGCTTCATGGTATGGCTCGTTTTCCTCGGTTCTGTTCATGTTTAAGTAGAATTCCGCTATGAAATAGGAAATAAAATGAACGTTAATGATTACTTTGTATATTTGATATCTACAAGATATTCAAAGCCTAACGTACCGACGTGTTCTGGCAAGATATTGCGAAGCAGTAGTTTGTTAGCGTTCCTTGTGTGGAATGCCTCGTCCTGTTCTTTCGTTAATCGTCGTTTCCAAATGTAGTCCAGCCTGCTCAAATACTCCGCCTAAATAGATTATCATCGTGGTTAACACATATTTAAACACCGAACAAACATGCATACTTTTTTAATGCAAGACGGCTCACCTGACGATCAATGAGATGCAAAGAAAATGTAAGGAAAACTACGCTTAAAATGTGTGCCACACTCGGTTCTAAATGTGGACTGAACCTTTCACCAGACTGTGAAGAACAAAAGTAGCGGATGAAAAGGATAACTAATATTAATGTACCAATTGAAAATTCAGCGCGTACGCGTCGGTGTCGTTACCTGAAATAAATTCGAACGATGTATCCACACATTCGCTGAATAAAATGCCACTACAGCGGTACCTATTACTAGTTTTAGGATATAATGGACTCTCAGAAACAAAAAACTCGTTAGGATTGCCAGGGAACAGGTTTGCGTCATTTGCTAAAAAGGAAAAGAAACAATTGTTCAATGGCGTGAAAAATATTGTTCTGCGACCTGTGAAATATCAACCGAAGAGAAGTTAATAGAAACCAAGTACCTACTAAATAATCTTACCCAGGGTGCAGCTGTGCAATCGAGTTTAGCAGCGCTAGGTTCCATTATGCTCGACGTTATATTGTTGCTTACGAGCTCGTTCACATTTTCGCATTCGAACTGAAATTACGATGCAGATCAGTTTATGTTTTAATTGGCTTTTATTTTATTGTTCTCGTATTGTTTCACTTACGATCATATCAAACATGGCACACGCAGCTAACATGATCGTTATGACTAAATAGAGTATCGTTCTGAGATACGCGCTCCAAACAACCTGAAGAATGGACAGAAAGATTAATAGACGGGACAAGACATAGATCAATCGGAGAATGTAACGTCATTAACCTTCACACTGCTCTGATACAAGAAACACAGGATTTTGTTACGCGGATGAGGAACTTGACCTTCGTGCTCGTCGTGCGGATCCTTGTACCGATTCCAGGCGAAATGCATCCAGGCGATAGGCATCAAAATGATTAAGAACAACATCACTACCGAGTAACTAATCGCCGTACTCACGTGCCACCTGGAAGTTATAATTAATCATTGCTAGGACTTCGTGCTACTCGTCACCGAAAATGGATTATCGACTAAATGGTCTTACAAAGAGAACATACTCTGCATAAGAAAGCGTAGGTACCAAGTACATGAGTCCCATAAAGATCAGAACAAAAACGGCGGAGCAAATGTAAAATTTAAAAAGGGGATCCGGTTCCTTCAGGAATGGTATCTCCCAGCTCCATTGGCGAAACGTTAACAGCAAGGGGTTTATATCTTCCCACTTACACCATTGTCTGAAAAGAACATAACAAAATCAATGACATAGAACAAAATGGGTGTACACAGTGTATACCAGAATCTCTTATAATTCTCGTAGGCTTTGTAGGAAAATTCAATTCATTACTTACTCCCACTTGGTGAGAGGCATTTGTTGAATAGCAGTCTCCATCTCAGCGTCCGCAGCCTTCAGCATCAGATGATAATCCTTCAAGCAGGAGTCCATAAAGTGTGTACGCCGCCTGTAAGTGCTGGCTAGCACGTCGACGTGGTTGTTCATGGTAGCCGTTAACCGTCTGCTGTTCCTGGATCCGGCGTTCACACTGCTAGACCGAACGTTGTAAAATCTCACGTAATGCTTGTTAGCCACCGGGGAGGAGTCCGGAGAGATGACCGTCAAAGTGTTCTCGCTGTTCTGCAACAAGGTTCACCTATCAACGATGCGAAACGTTCAACGGAAGTTCGTTCGAACGGTCGATGAACGTTGATCAGTGGCGTAGGAACTGTTCAAACTTCATTCAACAAGTATACGTCGTTGTTCTTTTCTGTTCTCGCGTTTCGTTTAACGGCCGTGTACTTCCTACGCCACCGGGAAATACGCACCTGCGCGGGCGGCGGGTCGTCGGGTAGCAAAGGCGTGATCAAGTAGCTACGGATTTTATACTTCTTTAGAATCTCGTCGTTCAAGGATTCGACCGGCACGCAATCGTACTCGGCCGCGTCCACGAGATCCAACGTTTGTTGCGTAACGTGCACCTTGCCGGGCTTCCCCGTTTGCTCCATTTTATTAGCTATAACCACGTCACGTGACCAAACGTCATACTGCCACTTGTTGGCACCTAGGATACCGGATATTATGTTGCCCGAATGGACTCCTATCCGCATGTTCACGTCTACGCCACTCTCACGGCGTACCCTTGCTCTCACCTCCTTTATTATCTTTATCATGTCCAACCCTGTAACATGATAAATGGAATTCAATACTAATAATTATATAATTATGAGTACAAGACGGAAGAGAAAATAAGCAGCCTAACGTACCCAAATCCACGCAGCTTTTCGCGTGTTGGGAGTTCGGCGTTGGCACGCCGCTCACACAGTAATAACAATCGCCCAAGAACTTGATCCGCAGAACGTTGTGCCTTTCGGAAGCCTCGTCGAAACTGCCGAACAAGTCGTTCAGTGTTTCTACTAGCTTCCGGACTGGCAGAGCAACTGTCAGACCAGAAAAGTTCACCACATCGGCGTACAGAATGCTTACATCGTTGTGCGTCTCGACGCATAGATCACTGAAAATTATGTCTTCGATGATATCAGACATTTATTAAGGAGCAAAAGCAGAAAGTAGAGGTATAAGATGCATTTAAAGTATGTTGAGATCTTTTAATATATTCAAGAATAGGAAGAATATAATGTATACCTGTGAGGTCGTCCTTTGGGCGGTGGTTGCTTGTGCTCTTCGATAAATTTAAATATATCACGGAAATCTTTTTTAATTTTGGCGGCTATATGCTGCGGCAATATACTCCGCGTGAGCTGTTCCTGAAAACGTTCGCGGTTAATTATTACGACGATCAATAACGTCATAACATTCGGAAATGAACGTCGTAGGTTTAACTTACTTCTTGATCCTTCTCGTAGTTCAATCTCAGCGTCGACTCAACGCATTTCCGGCGATCGAGGAACGACCGTCTGATGACGACCTCGTTCATGAACCTGAAGTACAATCCTAGGCCATTCACGCAAATAAAATATATCGTGTCTGTGATTATCTGGAAAATCAGAGATCGAAAGACTGCGATTGCGAGTTAGGGTGAACACGGGCCGCGGCAATTAGGGGATCTCGTCTTGCGGTGAAGATATATCGCGCTTGATCTTTGCCGCTACTGTGTGCCAACACTGTCGATCAATAAAATGTACAGGGTGCTTCATAGTCTTGCAAATGAAAGGTTCGTCATTGATATACTCTTTAAATTAAGACATTTTCTACATAATTATCAGCTCCGTGTGATTAATAAACGGAGCCCCTCGAAGTTTTCCACAAAAATGTTTTAACGAACTGACAACAAACATTTATAAATAAACAACAAAACGTTTGTTACTGTACAATTAGTATACGTTCTTCTATAGCCTCGATCAATTAAAATTAAATGAGATCTCGCAAAATCCTTATCCTCTAATTTTCCTTCTGAAGGATGACGAAGGTGTTTTCATTTCCTCTGGTCGCCAGGTTGACAATGAAATCTTAAAGAATCGGTAGTGTATATTTGAAACACCCTGTACATTGGCGTGAGCGCCTAACACGACGATAAACCCGAGGCGATCCTCTAATTATCTTAAACGGCGTATTATCGCTGTTATCCATGTTTATTCGGTCAAGCGACTCACGTGAAGGAAATGCGTAAGGCGTCGGTGTTTACCTTGGTAACGTAATCGGACGTGTTTCTGTAAGTGATTAACGAGAGCGCGGCCAGGTAGCACAGGGTGGCCGTGATCCCGAGGATGAAAGCGTGCAGATTCTCCGTGAGCGGCAGGAAGACGTAGCAGGCTAACAGCGCGTGGGTCGCGTACGCAGGTCTGCAAGGAGAAACGTCGTTCCATGTATCCTATTTTCATTTATTCGTTTCATAATATGGGGCAGGTGAACGTAGAGTTTAGTTGATTTCCCTAATGTTTTCTGTTTGCTTATTAGTACTGTTTCGTGTAAACATTTAACTGGATTAGGTCCGAGTTAAGTCTGGATTAGTGATAAACCGCGACTTTTAAAAAGCTGTAGCGAAACAGGCTAATTGTAAAATTAAGAAAAGTCGCTAAACTGGATAATTATGTGAAAATATAGGACGAAGATTTTTAACTTTTAACCCTTAATGAATATAAGAAATACAGTAATAACGTGAATTAAGTGCCTGTTTTTGCTATTATTATTATTTTATGTTCATCGAACATAATTTGTACAAATGTATTATAATATTCTTCGAGTGACACTGTTAATAAAAAACACAATGTTTACACTTAAGTTTAGTATAAGAATAATGTAACTAGTTAAAGATGAAAAAGCTATGTTACTGATTGCACGTAGGTCAAGTGAAATTGATGTATTGTTCAGTTGATGTAAAGGTTCTACCTTTGAAACAAATGTGCATTGTACATACAATGAATTGGATATTTCATTTGTGTTTTCTTTGTGCTATTAAAGTCGGAGTGAAAATATTGTAACACCTCGTTTAAAATTCAAAAAATTTACTCCTCGCAGATGATCTAGAACTACGTCAGTGAATGTAGATTGATTTCAGGATGACGTGGATACACGTCAACGGTTGCCAAAATGCTGGTAAAATTTATTTGATGGGGATAGTTGCGAGGAATAGTTAATTTAAAGTTCACGGTGAAAGATAAGAATGAACCGTGATTAACACCCGGAAGGAAATCTGAAGACTAATCCGGCGGATGATACAAGGTGTTACGTAACGCGCGAGACCTGCCTCGGTCACCAACAAACCATAGATTATATCGGACTGTTTGACATTGCTATTCTTTTCTGTGAGAGTAATTATTTTTCTACGCTTGTTTCTCTTATTTTCTTTAATTCCCTTTTCATGAACTGTCTAAATTAACCGTAAAATTGTATTTAAGTGGTTTTACTATTTACTAAAGGATTTTAATGTTAAAAGGATTAAATTCGCAAAATTGGTTTTATAAAAAATTATATAACAAAAAGGTTGTTTACACATAAAACATGATAAATTTAAGTTTTTCAGTTTCTGCGCATATTAATACAAATTAGAGTAATAAAGAATTATGAAAGTAAAGTGAAAGTACTATTTTACTTGCTATATCGATAGTTTTACTAGATTCGAAATAATGTAGACGTTTCTACTTCATTCTTTCTCGAAAGAAGATTCTAGGACAGACAATAAAATTCCATAACGTAATCTTCATGTTTAAAAATTGGACTGTAAAATTACGTGTTCGCATGAAAATTTGCAGTTTACATATTATGGATGCGATAAAAAGTAGAGTTCTTAGAATAGGAAGTAAAAATGATTATATGTCTAATTTTCATTTTCCATAAATTAGCGTCTAGAATTACGCGTTCGCATAAAAATCCGCACCCCAACGATTACGACCGTCATAAACCTGTCAAGAACAGGAAACAAAATTCCATCGAATTTCATAGACTACAAATCATCGTTTAAAATACGCTCTTGTTTAAGCGTTCGCGGTTGATCCATCGCAAATTGCGGTACACCGTCCCCGTTTAAGCGTGCGTCTTGAGCAACTTATCAAATCGCCCCAATATCCGGAGAGACTTCAGACAGAATTTAATGAATATAAATCAATTTGATTCGAATCTTTAAATCTTTAAATCTTCAAATTTTCAAATCTCCGAATTTTCAAGTTTTCAAGTTTTTAAATTTTCTGGTTTCCAAGTTTCTAAATTTTTTCTAAATTTTTCTAAATTTCTAAATTTCTAAGTTTTCAAGTTTTCAAATCTACAAATCTTCAAATCTTCAAACTTTCAAATATATTTTTTCCTATCAAGCACACTTCTGAAAGAAATTGTACATCGAAGGATTAACGTTAAAAATACCGAACACTAATTGCACATTAGACATTACAGATTCGTAATATCTTACACAAATTATATGAACCTGTTGATTGATCTTCCGTGCAAATTTGATCGTAACGCCCGCAATACTAAACGAATGTGTTCAGTAATGGTAAAAAAGAGAAACCCGTGAACGGACATTTCGACTCGTTCGCTAGCTCTAGCTTCGTTAATTTGCATTCACGAAGATCGGAACGATGCGGCGATAACAATTACACATTATGCGTCCTTATCAGCGCGGCAATCGCGTCCGAGCCGCACACCCGATCCCGCTGTTAATTGAAACCGAGAAAATGTTCCAGGAAACGTGTGCCTCGCGGGAACGTTGCAAAACCAACGACGGAGATTAATACCGATAAGTGGTGCGCCGATCTTTCGTAACCAGGGTTTCGAGGAAACAGGCGAAAACTGTTGGCGGAAAGAGAGAGACGAAGAGAGAAGAAAAAAATAGATCAACCAAGGCTACGATCGTTAATTAACCCTCGGAGGGCGGACAACTTTATTATTTTCATTTTTATGACTTTTCGAGCGACAATAAATAATAGTACTCGAACTTTCACTTAATAATTTTATATAATCAACTGATAACTTAAATTACCCATAATTTCGCTTACAAAGACTGAAAAGAAATTAAATGAAGTCTTTGAAAATCTTAATTTAAATAGATTAAAGCGACAATATTTTTCATTATAAATATTCATTATTTTCTAATGAAATATCGATGGTACTTCTACAATTAATATAAAGGAAAATCTTGCATAAATTAAGGGACAGAACAGAAAACATATACGAAATTTTAATATTGAATTGTAACCTTCATCTGTTCTTTAAAACAAATCACAGAAAAAACTAATCCTGGGTCGAAAAAGACCCTGGGTTCTGATGAAGGTTAAATTTTATAATTTCGCTGCGTTGAATTAAATGGCAGTTGAAGGTCCTCACTCAAGAGCAAAAGGTTAGATAGGAGTTTTAGGGAGGATTTTGTCCAGAAACGTTCCGTTGCCAATGACTACCTTATCGGTCGTGTTTCCTCCGTGTAAGTGAGCGTGTAGTACATCGGTACAGCTAGGTCGCCGATCACGAGTAACACTACGATCAGGCAGGACAACATCACCGGTAAGTAAGTGTTCTTAGCGATGATCTTCGAGCGAAAGGACAGGGCTATCACCGGGCACAGCAATGCGCTGCCGACGATGCAGACGACCACGTCTGGCACGCAATTCTCGATGCTCACCTACAGAAGAAAAATGTTATTTATTGATTCGATTTGAGGTATGAATGATGGGATTGCGAAATGTCGAGTGTTTTACTGTAGAATGAAATGAACAATTTCATGGATCCTAATGTAAATTTAGGTAATTTATGTAATACTTTCTAATCATCATTAACATCATCAATATCTAATCCTTATAAAAATTGTAACAACAGATTTTGTTTCGATTTCCTCATATTCTCTCAAATCATTGTTCTGGTATTAAATTTCTGTACCTTGATCAATGCACAATTATTTTCTTCTATTCTGAACATTTTTACGTGAAACCTTGAAATTAATATTTAGAGCACTTTTCAACGGGTTCCTTGCGTTTATTTTCAGTTGTTACTAAATATTTAGCAATATTGAAATTAAAATTTGAAGAGTAAAGAGCGAAGGGTAAAATGTTGAAATATAGATTGAAGTTAAAAAATGTACAACTATGAAGAATTTTGTATTCGATTACACGTGTCGTCTGTATCACAGGGACTATATGTTAAATATAAAATAAATAAGAAATTAAACGGAGTTCGATTACGGCGCGAGCGGTCGCGTTCTATTTTTGCCGTGGCAAAATGGACGGGAATGGCGGTCATTTTTGGTACACCTGTAGGGTCTGATAGTGGTAGTAAAATGAGCGGTACTCCTCGGTAATAGATTATCGATTTAAGGGGTGCGAGGAGACTCACGAATCGACTAATCGTGAGACGAAGGGACAATTAATGTTTTTACTCTATTTTGTTTTAATTAGACCATGAACGAAAATGATTTAGAAGAATTATTTACGTTACCTTACAATGTAACTTCCGTTTATGTGATTGTTACCTTGGCATTGCTTTACATAATACAACTGTTTTATGAATGTGATATATAGTATACTGAATTAATCATAGTAACATCTTTCGGAATTATTTGAGAACCCTCCAGTGAAGCAATAGTTAGAATAATTTGATTGAACTCATGATCTATTTCTATTTCCTGACAGTCCGCAAGGTTGAAATGAAGGCCGCGTGAATTTCGAATTGATAAAATTGCACGAAAGTCCATTTAAATTTAAGATCGTTCCATGTAATTTATGCAGTGCTGTCGTGCCATTTAAATTATGCAGGAGATATTTTTAAAAACGTAATACCACCGTGCGCGAAACTAATTTTCGCAATGTTAATGACCGGGCGAAATGCTCACTGGATTATGCAAATTTTCCATTGTTTTCTGTAATTTGCGCACTTGGTTGACCGAATGGCCGTCGAGATTTGTCGAGTTTAACATATAATTGCCGTACGAACGTGTCTTTGCAATACTTCACACGATTATTATAATTCTAAGAAATTTAACACTTATAACTGAGAAAACAGAAAAATGATGAAAAGATTTTACTGCATTTAATCATTATCTGAACGACGTATCGTTAATCGGTACATTTCATGGATTAGAAAATTTGTTCACGTTAACAAATCATAAAGAATTTAATATTGAATATCAAGCTTTACAATTTTATTGCATCGAATCAAATGGCAACTGACAATGTCGAAATTAACGAGAGAAATATTATCCTTCAATATTCCATGCGTTAATAAATCATAAAGATTTTAACATTGAATACGAAGCTTTACAATTTTGTTGCGTCGAATCAAACGGCAACTGACAATGAGAATCGCTTCTCGGTGTCGAAGGGTTAATCGAAATGAAATTGCCGTGAATATTGTTCCGCTTACCATCGTGACCAGGATCAAACAATACGTGATACCAAGCGCCAATTGTAGTAGAACGAAGAGCGACAGATAACCATACTGAAACCTCCTCTGGTAAACCGTGAACAGCTTCTCTAGGCTCTTGTATTTGAACTGTTTCTGAAAGTGAAAGCTCACGTGAGATTATGTATTCGCGGTGTGACCGCTGTTTGAACTTTCTCGCTAAGTTAATAATCATCGTAGCCGCGAAAACCGATAGTTCTTCGTTTATCATTATTTTTTCGCTTCCCGCTGGTTCAGACTTTGTTGTCTGTGCTCCCCTCGATTTTCAAACGACGTTGCTTTTACCATGAATTGCTAGCTTAAAGCATGAATGTGTATCTACAATTAATTTTACTCAACGATGCTCTAACCATTCGTTTGCGTAATTGAGTTTCATCGGATATTCAGCGTTGGAATCTCCATTCGTTACTGAACTACCAATCTCTTCGAAAGTTTGCGATTCCCTGGACTGATTAATGAAAAATTGGAACTTCGTGGAAAATTATTTCTCCTGATACAAGGTTACTTTGATTTCATTGGAGGTTATTCGAAGATTCGTGTTGGAATTTATTGACATTTATTGAATATTCCATGCTGATTAAATTATTGATTAAATTACCGGTAATATCGGCACGAAATCGGACAGGTTTCGTTGCTGCAAGGATAACAAAGTTAACAGTGAGGAATGGCCGTTAATTCTCATCGCGATACCAGACCACGTGCGTCTGAATACAATATGAAACGCGAGATCGAGTTTAGCGATCGATACGATGCGTTGGAAGTAACACGACCGCCATTTTCTAGCAATATCAAATTCGCCACGATAAAAACTCGATTTCTACAGATACAGATTATTTTGCTCTAATTCGCGTCACGCCGAAATGTAAGTTCACCGTAACGCAGAAATTTCGTTGTGTTCTATATAAGCTGTTCAGATGTTAATCACGATGATTAAATTATACACATGCTGATTATCGTTTGAAGTTTCGCGGTCGAAGCAACACGCAGAAAGTGATACAATATTTTCTACTCATGCAGGATTCAAGAAGGTAAAAGTAGGAATAAAAGTGAAAATTGAATCATAATTTATACGAGAAGGTAGAATATATAAACAGAACCGTGGTTAATCCTTCCTTTGTTTTCCTTAGATTTCACCCTGCACTGCACTTAAAATGTACTCTTCCTTTTTTCTTCGAGAGTTAATAACGAGAATCGAAAACGAACCGTAATTTCCACCCACCTTTATAACCATAGAAAAAGAAGACCTATTTCAACGCTATAATTTCAACTGATCTATCAATCTTAGCAACCAAAATAATAGAAAACCGATTTTAACACAAGAACTCCGGCTATTCTACCAACGTTTTTCACCAAAACCAAAGAAGTTCTATTCCAACACTAAACTCTCGATTGATCCATCAACCTTCACAACCAAAAGAACAAAGGAAATCCAATTG